GGACAGAGAGAGGGAGGAAAGGTCTCACTCAGATTCATCAGGGTGGTTCTTTTTTAAAAAACAAGTTTTATTAGTTTTTTCTTTTTACAAACAAGTGCTTAAGAATCAACGTGGTGGCAGGTTAATCAATTGTCCAAAAGCAAAGTCATACTTATATAGTTCAAATTAAATCATTAGAAACCCCCTCTCTATTCCCTCAGATAATATATTATATTCAAATTAATGTATTTCAATACAACTAAGTCAATCAAAACAATCATCAATAACATTTCATCTAAATAAGTCCAAATCCTGTGTTAAGCTTTACTATTTCAATTGCTATATTCCATTTTGCTACTATAAATGCATAATTAGCACTTCAGGTATCCCGCCATTTCCTTTTTCCTTGACATAGTCAATAATCATTTATTAATATCATTTCTTCTTTTTTTATTCTTCTTCCATTACAAAATAACTATCATTTCTAATAACAAGAATATTAGTTCAAAAAAGAAAAAGAAAAAAAAGAAAAAAATACCTTTCTACTCTATTCTACTTTATGATCTATCAGTCCCTCAATATCTATATCAAACTCCTTTAACCCCCTCCCAAAATTACTATATCCACAACAAACATGTTAATACATAAACATCTTCTTATTAAATTCAAATCTTTAATTAATTTATTATTAATTAATAAATCTTATTTAACTATCTTAAGCCATAAGTCAGTCCATATCTAATAAGCCTTTTAAACCCGTTATATAGAGCCTTGAATCGCAGACTCAGTTATGTCCAACTTTATAGTTAATAGTTGCTTATCCAAGCTATCAATTTTTTCCAATATGAGTTTGTAATCAAGTTGAGAATAGGTTTCTCCATTTCAATAATAATTAGAAACACTCTGTTATTCTGTGTGTTCAAAAAACATTTAGTCAGTATCCACCGCCACAAAACAGCTGTTAAGTTTCTTTGTCTTTTCCCTTTTATGGTAATCTGAAGGTCAAAGTCAATCTCATCATCAGAGAAAAAGACAGTTGCAGTTTTGACTTTATCCACAGGATGTCCTCAGTAGACTATAAAATCTCCTCCCAGACACCAGGAATGACGTTGACAAGATCAGAAAAAGCAAAAAAGAGAAAATTCTTCACATATAGACTAAGTCCAATAGTAAATTCAATATTAAAAGTTTTTTCCAAGACCCTAAAGTGGATAAAAATAAATAAAAAATTTAAAAAGTCAGTTTAAGTTAATTCAGTCCATTTAAGCTTCTTTTCTCACACCCACAAACTTAGAGCAGGGAAATAATTTCAAAAATGATTTTTATAGGCAACAAAAAAGAAAGGAGAACCAAGAGAGGTAAAAAAAAAAAAGTCTCACCTGGCTCAATGCTTAGATGTTCTTCTGACTTCTGGTTACAGAGGCAAAGTGATCGGCCAGTAAAATGGCCGATCTTTCCACCGTCGGCCCTAAGGAGGAATCTCGGGCCGTAGAAGAAGCTGCCACTCTCCCATGGTCAATGAGGGCCTCCTCAATGGTAGCCACCCCTGCAGGCTGGATTTTCGACCCAATTAAGGGTCTACCGGCAGCGGAGAATCGGCCGGCAAAGAGAGCAGTCTCTTTGCGTGGCTGCGAATGCCGTGATCCAGAACTGGAAGTCCCACCATAGTAGTTCTTTATGCTTAGATGATTTTCTGACTTCTTCTCCGTCAGCCCTATGGAGTTAACTTGGACTGCGGGGGGAGTGCCACTCCACTGCAGCTGAGCAAAAGCCTCCTCGACAGTAGTCACCCCTCCAGGACGATTTAAGACTCGCATAAGGGTCTACTCGCTGAGGGAAAACAGCCGATTAAGAGAGAGGTCTCTTCATACAACTGAACGTGCCACGATCTGGAAGCGGAAATCGTCAGAGCTGTTTTAAAGAAACTGCGAGCTGCCCACCTATATTCCAAATTATCAAAATGCGAATTCCATCAGGAAAGAATAGACTACCTGGGTAATCACATATCCCACAGGGCATCAAAATGGACCCCAAGAAGGTCAGGGCAGTACTAGAATGGGCACCATCTCACACAAGGAAGCAGTTGCAAAGTTTCCTGGGTTTCACAAACTTTTACCGCCAATTCATCCCTTTGTTCACCCAAATAGCCCTGCCCCTCACAAACTTACTAAAAATGAAGGGAGAATCCTCAATGAAACCCAGCCAGCCACTAAAATAGGCAATGGAATGCCAAGCGGCATTCGACAGGTTAAAGAGACTCTTTTCCGCCGAACCCATATTGAGGCACCCAGACATGGATAAACCTTTCGTAATACAGGCAGACAAACGATGTGGCAGTGGGAGCTGTACTATTACAAGAAAATGATGAAGAGGTATTGCAACCGTGTGCATACACGTCCAGGAAACTCACCGAAACGGAACAGCACTAGGCCATGTGGGAAAAGGAGGCGTATGCTGTGAGATGATCGTTACTTACGTGGTGCCATTTCCTTGAAGGGAATAAAATCCCTTTCCAGATCTGGACGGACGAATTCTGTTTTATGCTCAAACACTTGCTGGGGGGAAAGAACTTCCTGGCAGATGCACTGTCTCGCATGTCCCAATATAACAGCACGTGAGCCACCGGTTCTAAACCACACATGCCAGAACCACAACTGGCAGCACCAGTAACCACCAGACCCCAAGCTAAAATAAAGCCACAGCTGGGTAGCCAAACTGGAATCGAATTCCAGAAAACTTTGGAAACAGATGAATGGTTCCAGAAAAATAGCCCCGTGTGCACAATCAAGGACAGACTGCCATGGGTGGGGGGAAAGTTATATATACCAACCACCCAGAGGGTCACTTTCATGCAGCTATGCCATGACACAAAATCAGCAGGGCATTTTGGATTTGTAAAAACATTACATTTAATTAAAAGGCAATTTTGGTGGCCATCCATGAAAAGGACATAGAAAGTTACGTGACCAGCTGCGCAACTTGCGGAGCTGCTAAGAGGTTGCAAGGGAAATCACCCGGATTGTTAGAACCAGTGGCGAATCCCTCAGCCCCCTAGAAAGAAATATCCATGGATTTTATAGTGGAATTATCAGAAAGCAATGGAAACACTGTCATCTGGGTGGTTAAGTACCTGTTTTCAAAACAAGTGCACTTTATCCCTTGCCAAAGATTCCCACCACAAAAACCTTAGCAAAACTATTCGTGCAGCACATCTACAGACTGCATGGGGCACCCCAACGCATTATATCTGATAGGGGAGTGCAATTTACATCAGAACATTGGAAGGAATTTTTATCCCTCTTAGGAATCACTCAGGGACTGTCATCTAGCCATCATCCTCAATTCAGTGGACAGATGGAATGTTCAAACTCAGTACTTGAGCAATACTTAAGGTGCTTTATTAATTTCCAGCAAACAAATTGGACGGACCTACTCCCTTTTACAGAAGTTGCTTACAATAACACAGTCCATTCCAGCATAGGCTACACTCCCTTTCAAGTAGCTACCAGTCAAAGTTTTAACCCTATGCCAGAACTGACCCCAAACGAACCGGCAATCTCCTCGCTGAAATAATGGATATCACAATTACAAAACACCTAGCCAGTGGCTAGGAAAGCCTTAGACGAAGCTAGGCAAGCATACAAAGCACAAGCAGATAAAAAGAGTTGAACCTATAACATTCACTGTAGGAGAAATGGTATATTTGTCTACAAAATACCTAAAATCCCTACAGCCCTATAAAAAACTGGGTCCAAAATATATAGGACCTTTTCCAATTAAAAGAATCATAAACACAGTAACAGTAGAATTAGAACTATCCAAAAAGCTCAGACAAATATACCCAATTTTTCACTGCAGCTTGCTGATATGAGAACAGTCGCCCTTATGACCACCACCCCCCACCTCCAATCATGGTTGAAGGAGAACAACACTTCGAGATAAAAGAAATCCTAGATTCTAGGAAGTATCACGGGGCAACTCAATATTTAGTAGCATGGAAACACCTTCCCTCCTCACAAAACAAATAGGTCCATAAACATCATGTCAGAGCACCTAAACTGTTAAAGAAGTTTCATACAGAATATCCCAACAAACCAGACTAACCTCTGTACCTGATTTGTTTTCTCTACAGGTAGATCTCTTTTATTTTTAAGGGGGCAAGATGTCAGAACCGATTCCTATTTCATTTCTACCTATTCCGTCTGACCTAAAAACAAATCTCACCTTCCCCTGGGTTGTGCCATACTTCCAAGGGGGAGGGGGTATGTGCCTCCGCGGTTATTGCTTTCTCTTCCTCTATTTGCTACAGTGTAATCTTTTGCTTCATTTATTGCTTTTGTGGCCACTGCCCACTACAATGTAACAATTTGCTTCCTGCACTGTATCTCTCTCTGAACTTTCTTCTCCCTAACCTATCAGCTAGGAAAAGGGGGGGAGAAAGAAATAAAACCTCTTATTTCTGCGTTCTCAAAAGAAGGTGCGAAGAGCTGCTTGAACAGCGCGCTATGACTGGAGTCAGACCAATATTACTTCCCCTTTCCCACGATGGACTTAACTCCTGGGGATTGGCTGGTTTGAACCGTCCGGATGAACTATGGGGTGGGGTTTGCTTGGGGACACTTTAAAGTATCGACCTGCAAAGGAATCCCTCAGATCTTGTCTATTATGCCTGCTATCAACTACTTTTAATAAAAGTTCCTGTTGAGGAAATTGTCTCCAAGAGTTCTACTTTCTTAAGATGTGGGATTGATGCGGGTCCTTACAGGGAGTGGGCTATAAACTTGCATGATATGCAGCATTCTCTGCTAATGGTAAGGACAATTCCAGTCATGTTTTGCACTTTTGGTCAAGTATACCATAAGCACAGCCAAAGTTTAAAGATGCTCATGCTTTTTTATGAGAATCTCTATTTTATAGAAAGTAATGCTATAAGATATGTGTACTAAACTGTTATACTAGGGATACTGGAAAAACACAATTTTGTAAAATATTAAAATATTTGTGGGTGGGTTTTTTTGTAGATAACCAACCAAAAGCCAATCACAGTACTTGAAATACTTCAAAAGATCCGCCTTCATGTTTCTGTACCGCAGTGTGATGTGTTTGGATACTTCAGCATAGAATCTGAACTTATAATTCTTATCATTCCTGTTGATCAGAATCCTAAGCCTCTTCAGGTAATACTTTAAATTTTTTTGCATTTAATTTTACTAAAAAAAAATCAGAGCACAGCCTAAATTCTCCAAGTCTTCAAAATTATTACTGAGACCCAATAATATTAAATTTGATTTTCTCCGGATTGTGGAATAAACAAACTTTTGTACTAAAAATATGTCAAAAAGATATTTCTGGTTTATCTAATTATTTTAATACTTTCACATTTTCAAATATAACAAATAAGAGATTCTAAAGCCAAATTAAAATGAAAGAAACAGAACATACTTAACAAGTAACATAACATAAATGTAAAAAAGAGAAAAAACATATTAGTAATCACACATTTGAATAAAAGAATGAATAAAACATGCAAATTGAAATGTCTTAAGAGATTCCTATAATGAATCAAAAGTTATTTCAGAAATCTCCAAGAAACACTATCAAAAGCTTAATTGGTAACTAGATCTGAGGTCTTACAAAATATGAATCTTTAAAATTTCTCCAAAATGGTTTGTGGAAAGATTTAATCAAATTTTCTTTGAATTAAATTACTTCTTTAATAAGCATGTAAAGTTCTAATAAATATGTCAAAGAGAAGGAGAATTTCAAAAGGAGAAAAATGTATTCATTGTTTCTTCTTTGGAAAAAAACTGATTCAAAATAAAAGCAAAAATATAAAAGTATGATTAAAAATATATGATCTCTTTGAAGAAACCACTATAAAATAAGGAATACTGAAGAATATAATCTGTATCATTTTATAAATAAGAAGATACATTCAAGAAGCAATATGTAAAACAAACAACATTGGCTCTGTTCGCCCATACTTAACTCAACTGGGAGTTAGCGTGTTGCACAAATAATCTTAATATTTGGAACCTAATCTTATCAGTTGAGGTTCTTCCTACCAAAACTGAGATAAAATCTGTGGACATTCTTTCTCTCTTCTCTCCTTGTGACCACATAGGAAGGTGGATAATGGGCCTGAAGATAATGAGATAATCCTCCCATTGTGTCTATTCTAATTAGATCATTATAGATTTTAACTTTTTTTTTTTGCATTCCTGTGGGGGAGAGAGGAAGGAAAGGAAATTTTGCTATAACAGGGAAGTTTTAAAAAATGGCTATTCTGTAATTGGCAGTGACAACTCAAGAGTGCACAGAGGATGAGTTATTTGCTTGAAGAGTAGCTGATCTGGTCAACAAGGCTTGCAAATGGAGCTATTAAAAGGCAGAGGAAAGGGAAAACCTTTGTACTGAATGTATAAAATAATGTTGATCTTATTTCCTGTTACATGAAAGAAACACTTTGAAAGACTAGAAGGTAAAGCCAAAAGTTGCATATTTCCATAATGGCCTCCTTTTTACTATTTACTAAATTCAGTATTATGTTTTCCTAGATTGAAGCATGCAATAAAGAAGCAGAAAAGATAGAATCACTGATCAACTCTGACAGTCCTGCTTTAGCATCCCATGTACCTCTCTCAGCGCTTATTGCAGCCCAGGTGAAAGTTTCATTCAAGATGTCTTCTTCCCGTAGTCAAGTTATATTAGCAGATTATTTGGTCTTTTGGCACGTTATGCTAATTTTTTTAGCTATCAAGTGTAATACATAATAAAAAAATATTCAGGTAGACTTTAGTATTTATTTTGCGAAAGACATTCTAATCTAGTGAAGTAACAATGTCATAATCTGTGGACCTACTTGGCCCACAAGGATTACTTCACACAGTTCCAACTGTGCCATTTTAATTACAAAATTGGATTATTATTTGGCATTAACTTAATCTTTAATATTTTGTAAAGTAGCAAATAAGCAGTGCTGTACAATATAACCAAGTCCTGACTATAATAATGTTTTTCAGTGATGAAGGAAGCATAAAAAAAAAATCACTGTGGTGCTTCTGTATACATGCTCGATTTTTTTAGCCTTGTTTAGTCAGGCTTGTTTGGAAATATCTACTGTAAGGTTTTGAATGTTCTGGCAAGGGAAGTTCAAGTGGCTTCAGGCCTCTATAAATGGAAGATCATTTTTAGTCAGATAGCTTGCTGTTATTGTGAGTCTTATAATTTCCTATGGATGTGTTCAATTATTTTTTAAAATTATAGTTTTAGTGTTTTAACCATATTTGATTATTAGATGCCCTGAGCACTATTTTTAGTGACAAACCAAGATATAAATTAAATTAATAAATTATTAAATACTATTGGATATTTTAAACTGACAATATTAACAGGACATATTAAATGAGTGTATATTTACACTCATTAACAGGTATAACTCTAGTATATATTTTTCAGTTCTCTTCTGTCACAAGTTTTAAACTGCACCTCAGCACCCAAACATCAGGTAATCTTTTTGGAAGTATTATTTTTTATTAAGCCTAAGCTCAGTTGCATTTTTACCAGTCCCTCCCTGCCTTATGTAATAATTCTAAATCTAGCTTATCCAAATAAAGTTACTAAGCAGAATTAGAACTGTGAGGGAAAAATTAAAAACACAAATGCCAAATAACATGTTTTCCTCATATCATGAAAATGTATGTTTCTTCTGTGCTATGCAAGGATACCATAGTGTATATGTCCATGCCAATTTCTATTTTTCATCCGTGCATATAGGTCAAATTGTCCATATATAATAAAGATTAATCCAGGGCATAGTTTGTGTATGTGAACCATCCACTCTGCATATACCAAGAGCTTATTGTAGAGGCAAGGTTGGATTAAAATAATTGTTTTCATTTTCTTTGAAGATGAAATTGATGTTTGCATTCGTTTGTCTTTTGTGTATAAATTTTCACAGTTGAAACATATTTTATAAGATTAAAAAATATTTTTATATTATTTTGGAGGAGGGGTGCTGGATGTCACATGCCCCCTCAGTGCAATGGAAATAGCACTGCCTGGTTTAACAGTATATTATTCAGAATATCCATTTTAAAAATTAGCTTTTGATGAAAATATTGCTGCTGCTACTAAATAAATGTACCAAAAATTCATACATTTTCATGTAGAATCCTAGAATCATATTACTGAAAATAAATACATAATAAAGAATATAGGCATAAGCCTTGTTCTGCAAAGAATGTGAAGTAAAATTAGTTGTGCACAGAAGGATTTGCTGAATACTATTGCCCCATTATCGGTCATGTTTTAAATTAGTTTTCATTCTTGTGTTTAAAATATATAAAAGATGCAGCTTTTATATATTTACACAGATTTTCTTTGAAAAACAATATGATAAAGAGCATTAAATATTTGTGAATATCACTCTAAATAATGCAGTATTTGCATATTATTCTATATACTTAAGTAAAGATTTTATATTATTACACTCCAATAGGAATGTTTTTGTACAAATCATAAACAGAAGCTATCCAGGTGCTAAATAGAGATTTACTACATAATAATCTGGATTATGCTTCCATGCTTTTTGTGCACCTGATCTTTTCTAATATTTTGTTATCAGTATTATTAGAAGTCATTTTGAAGTATGTATCAATAGCACTATCTGTACCAAATTCTTAAATATTAAAAAATGAAAACTATCTTAGCATTTCTGTTAGCAATAATTTGTGGCAACTATTTTATTTGATGCTTATAAATAAGAAATCTTTGCAATGTATTATCAAAGCTTTTATTTTAATAAAATATTTTATATTTTATGCCTCATTTACAAATGTATAATTTCATAAAAATTGTACACTTCTGTATTGATTGTTTTGTTGTAATACTGAATAATAATCATAAGCATCTTTTCCAGTGTTCACACTTTCCCTCACAGAGCTGCAACATAACTGTTTTGTTGCAGTTTTGTTTCTGAAATGTCTGAATTTTGGGCAGCTGCAGTGAAGAAATCTCACTACATGAGGTCCCATCAGGATTGAAAATGTTATATATATGAAACAAACTGCATTTATAAGAACAGTATAACTCAGTAAGTCAGAAAAATAGTGGGATAATTTGAAAATAAGAAATGTTTAAAACTGACAAAATATTTGAACAACAATCTTTTTCTTAAAAAGCATTTAATGGATTCTCCTCTAAGCTTTTGTCTTTGCTTATTATCAGTGAATCAAAGATAAGCAAGATTGTCAGGTTACAGAATCAGAAATGTTTTCTTAAATTCTTAGCTCTGTGGGTCCACTATCTGATCTTGTAACCTGACAAACTTGCTTATCTTTGACCCATCTGGGCTTGCTGATACAGTTGGATGAGTCCATGCACTTAACACTTTTCAATATTATATGCTTCAAAACACATTACTTCTACTTAATATTTAGAATGAATAAATTTGATATTTTTTAGTTTCTCATCAGATTCTATTCACAATACAGCATAAGACATTACAAATTATGTCATTTTTTATTCCATTTCTTTTTTCCATAGGGCTTAAAGAAAATTTTAGTTCAGATTTTGATTTCTGGGGAATTTCTTTTCAAAAAAGATCTAAAGTTCCATAACAATTTTATATCTAATCTAGGCAATTTATATTTTAAATACATGTTCAAATTTTTAATTTATTTTTTTAAGTATAGTTGTAACACTTTTTAAGTAACATACTTCATTTCAAAGTACTTTTTAAAATAAAATCCTGCCAATGGTTGATATCACAGTAGCTAGGATTGCTTATGCTTCATTATATCAGTTAAGCTCTGCTGGGTGTCTTCTGTAGATGCTTCTGTTATTTCATCATTGCTTAGTAATCCCATAGATTCTTCTTCTAAAAAGCTAATCTTATTTCTTTGTTGTTTGATTGAACTTAATTTATTTCTTTGTTCTTGAATTTCTGTATCACTTGCAATGTTTGCAAATGCTTGCAATCTCCTCTTAAACTGAGATTCTGCTTCTTTGATGTATTGAGCTGCTATTGTTTTTTTGCAGCAATTGATTATGATCCTGTAAGAATTATATAGAAAAAACTTAGAATTATAAGAATTATAAGTGAAAATTCATATATATTTATATGAAGTCAGGTCATATAATTTGATTTGGGATTAGAAAGATAAAAACAATGTACTGAAATATAGGAACCTAATATCACTTAATATTTGGAGAATTGTAGCTTAGCATGAATTGTGTGACCCTGTACTATCTATCTGTCTATCTTTCTATATATTGATTAATTATTTGATTAATGTGCCAACCATATTGTCTGGAGGCAACTCTAGATAGCTTACAAACATTAAAACCAGAAGAATTAAGAAGATAAAATAGTAATAATAATAAACTATGCTTAAAATGTCATATGCCATATGTTTTTTCCTATGGCTTTATTCCAGTTTCATGGAACACAAACAGCTATTATTATTTGGGGGGGGGGGAGAAACTGTGGCTTTAGGAATAACAGAGTTGGAAGGGACCTTGGAGATCTTCTAGTCCAACCCCCTACTCAAGCAGACAAGTGGCTGTCCAGTTTCTTCTTAAAAGCCTCCAGTGATTGAGCACACACAATTTGAAGGCAAACTGTTCCACTAGTTAATAGTTCTTCCTTAACAGTTAAATTAACTGATAGGAAATGTCTCTTTAGTTCTGGATGGCTTCTCTCCTTGATTAGTTTCCATCCATTGTTTTTTATCTTGCTTTCTGGTGCTTTGGGAAATAGTTTGCCCCCTCTTCTTTGTGGCAGCCCCTCAAATATTGGAACACTGCTATCGTGTTGCTCCAGTCCTTCTTTTCACTAGAGTAGACATACCTAATTCCTGCAAAATCTTCCTAATCTTCCAAAGTAAAGATTTGAAAGAGAAAAAAAATTAGGAAGTCCAGCCAGGAACAAGAAAACAAAAAAGTAAAATTCCTGCAACTGTTCTTCATATGTTTTAGCCTCCACTCCTCTAATAATTTTAGTTGCTCTTTTCTGCACTCTTTCCAGAGTCTCAATATCTTTTTTTGTAATATGATGACCAAAACTGGATGCAATATTCTAAGTGGGGTCTTACTAAGACTTTATAAAGCAGTACTATTACCATGTTTCTCCAAAAAGACCCATGCAGAAAATAAGCCCTAGACCACGGGTTGGCAACCCGCGGCTCCGGAGCCGCATGCAGTTCTTTCAGCTGTCCCCTGTGGCTCCCAGCCACATGCAGTGCCCCCCCCCAAAATAGGACTAAAAAAGTTGAGCCAATCAATTCAAACTTCTCACAAAAGAAGTTTGAATTGATTGGTTCAGCTTATTTGGTTTCTAGGACGCTGTTCGCCATGGGCTTCACATAGACCGGAGGGAGGGGGAAGACAGCTCTGAAGGGAGACAGCCCTGTAGCAAGAAGCCGGCGGTCCGAGTGGAGTGGCACGGAAGACCTACCGGTCGGCGTGGGAAACTTCAGCGTTGCCGGTGAGTAAGGCTTGGTGAGTAAGGCTTGGCGGTTCCGCACCCTGACGACCAGTGGGAGGGGGTGGGGGGTATCCGGGGCCTAAAAAGTCCTCCAGGACAGGCTCGGGGCTGGCCCTCTTTCCCTGGCCACAGGAGAAGGGAAGGCGCAGGCTCTCCACCCGGGCAGGCAGGCGAGAAAAACCCCGAAAGCAGGAGGGAATCCTCCGGACCTTCGGTTTTCTCAGCTTGCCAACGAGGCTTGCAAACTCGGTTCCTGCCAGGGAAGCTCCTTCCCCGAAGCATGCAATTGCTCAGAGCCCGTCCCAAAAGGTGTTGCTTCCGTGGCAGGAGCCCAGTTTGTTGGTATTCTGCCTTAATTATGTGCCCCGCTTACCATTTTTTATACATACTTTTTGGCTTTCAGTTTATCAGATAGTTCTTTGTGTAACTATGCTGGTTTCTTCTTAGATTTCTTGTTTTCCTGTATAGGGGTATTGAGCTGGACTGGGCTTTTTAATTATAGTTTTCAGAGTTTCCCAAACTTCTTGAAATGTGAGGGAAGATTGGAAACACATTCAAATTTACAAGGTTCTATTACTATAACTATTCCATTATAAGTGATATTATGCCTATATGACATTGATTTTTTTTTTTAGTCTGGTCTGCCTTGTAGTGGGGACACTATTTCTATGCAAGGGGCAGGACTTCCAGACAGAGTACATAAATATATCTGATCTTATACAAATAGAAATGAACAACTTATAAGAGACCATGCAATAATTATATGACATCCAGATTTTGTTATAAAACATTCACTTTTATAAGGAAGAAAACACAAATTTGCTGAGAGGAAAGATAATTAACAAAATGCAATAACTGATTATTGATAAGATAAAGATAAAACCTCTTGCAATTCTTACTTAAATGTCCAATTCACTTGACTGATTTCAAATAAGTAGCATACTACTAAAAGAATTGCAGTATCAAGGGGAGACTTGATTATATTTAAATCTCATATAACAACTTTTATTGATGAAGTATGATTTAGAAACCTCAAAATTAAAAAATAAAATAAAATGAATGCAGAATTTAGATACAATAGAGATATGCAGCAATGATCTCAATGACAAAAGTATGTTGCACTTAGAAATACATTTTATTGTTACATTATTCTGGTTCTAATGATAAAATAGGCAATTGTTGTTGTTGTTGTTGTTAATTGCGAAGTCATATCCGACCCATCGCGACCCCATGGACAACGTTCCTCCAGGTCTTCCTGTCCTCTACCATCTTCTGGAGTCCATTTAAGTTCACACCTATGCTTCAGTGACTCCATCCAGCCATCTCATTCTCTGTCGTCCCCTTGTCCTATTGCCCTCAATCTTTCCCAGCATTAAGCCCTTTTCAAGTGAGCCCTTCCTTCTCATTAGGTGGCCAAAGTATTTGAGTTTCAACTTCAGGATCTGGCCTTCTAAAGAGTAGTCAGGGTTGATCTCTTCTAGGACTAACCGGTTTGAACGCCTTGCAGTCCAAGGGACTCGCAGGAGTCTTCTCCAGCACCATAGTTCAAAGGCCTCAATTCTTTTGCGCTCAGCCTTTCTTATGGTACAACTTTCACAGCTATACATTGCAACTGGGAAAACCATGGCCTGGACTATACGCACTTTTGTTGGCAGGGTGATGTCTCTGCTTTTTAGTATGCTGTCTAGATTTGCCATAGCTTTCCTCCCCAGGAGCAAGCGTCTTTTAATTTCTTGGCTGCAGTCCCCATCTGAGGTGATCTTGGAGCCCAGAAAAATAAAATCTGTCACTACCTCCATTTCTTCCCCATCTATTTGCCAGGAATTGAGAGGGCCGGATGCCATGATTTTGGTTTTCTTAATGTTGAGTTTCAAGCCAACTTTTGCACTCTCCTTCTTCACCCGCATCAAGAGGCTCTTTAGTTCCTCTTCACTTTCTGCCATTAGAGTGGTATCATCTGCATATCTTAGGTTGTTGATATTTCTCCCGGCAATCTTAATTCCAACTTTTGATTCATCTAGCCCTGCCTTTCTCATGATGTGCTCTGCATATAAGTTAAATAGGCAGGGCGACAGTATACAGCCTTGCCGGACTCCTTTTCCAATTTTGAACCAATCAGTGGTTCCGTGTCCAGTTCTCACTGTTGCTTCTTGACCCGCATATAAGTTTCTCAAGAGACAAATGAGATGGTCTGGTACTCCCATCTCTTTAAGAACTTGCCATAATTTGTTGTGATCCACACAATCAAAGGCTTTTGCATAATCAATGAAGCAGAAGTAGATGTTTTTCTGGAACTCCCTAGCTTTCTCCATGATCCAGTGTATGTTGGCAATTTGATCTC